AACCCAGCAAATGCCCCACCTGAGGTGACAACATCCACAAGTTCTGAGTCTCATCAGGCCTTTTGAAAGCAGTGAAGCTTGGCTAGCTGGAGATCAGTTTTTCACTGGATTCTATTTGTGATATGTGCATCAATGCTGGGCCTTGGGTGAGGGCTGACAGCACACACGTTCTCACAGAGGGCACACACATCCCACTGGGTTTAGCCCTTGCAGTACCCCAAACACAAAGTTCCAGCTACCTCACCTCCTCCTAGCTGAGGGCTGAGAAGAGAAAGAGGCACATCCTTGCTGCTACTTCAGTTCCTTATGAACTGCTGCATCCCCACAGCACGAACTCCCAAAGGGTATAAACAGGGAGGAAGCAAATGCACATGACACACACTAAAGAATGAAGTTTCTGGAAAATAATTCTGCTGATTTGAGTTGCCATGAGCAGTGACTCCAAACAACAACACATTCAGTTGGTTTATGTTTGTACATGGTGGTAGGGACCACAGACAATACTAATCTGCCACCTGAAACATTCACCTGGGACACTTCTCAGGTGTCTTACACTCTGGTACAAACAGAACTGAGAGGGCTGGTAGATATCAAGAGGAAAATCCTTTTCAAGGCCCATGGTGAGAGATTCAACTCCAACAGACCTATATGATAACAACAGGTGGCCCTGTGTTCTGCAGTGCTCCTCATCTTGCAGAAAAGTAATGCAGATAGTGCAGTGAAGCACCTGGCCCCATTCTCACAACTTATTAGAGCTGTGAAGTGTTGCCTAAATCTTGAATGCATGAGGCTTGAAAGGGGGAAAATAATCCAAATAACCAAACACAGAAAAGCTGATGCCTCAGTCAAGGTGGAACTGAGAATCCACCTACCTGAAAATTTCAAATGGGCTCTCTCTGGGCACACCTGATGGAGATGATCCGTGACAAGGGGCCAAACCTCTCTCACCATGTAGATGCTAAGTACAACCAAGACACTTTAACACGACCTTAAGATGATGTCACAAGGGGTGAAAAATTAGATTCTGAAATTTATATCCCAAGAGATAGTGGAGATCTTTAAGGGCAAATGATTGGCTGAAGGAAGCACTGCAAGACAAGGAGGCTGAGGGAAGAAAAACAGCAACAGGCACAAATGGCAGCTAGGCAGTGCCTCAGTCAAAAGAAAACCCAGGCTGGTAGTCCTGACATGTTCTGGAAGCTAAAACAAAGACTGACAATTGAGCAAGAGGAATAAACATATGGTTTGAGAACCCAGTCAATTTCATCATGTAATCTGAATTACACAGAGCTGTTCTTGCCATTAATCATTACCTCTCTCCTACTGGAGGGAAGCAAGCATGCTCTGCTGAAAACAGCATTCCGACTTCAAACAAGACACAGGAATCTGGAAGACCAGGGTCCAGGACTTGGTGCTGCCACTTGAAGGAGAGAGGCAAGGAACCCAGTGACAAGAAAGGAAGATTTTAACATGGAAGAATTCAGTTAAGGAGAGGGCTCTTCATAAGGATGAATGCTTGTCTGCATGATCCCTACACTAACTCCTATCCCAGCAGCAATCCTGTATCAGTCCATTTGGCCTCAAAACCAGAAGGAATAGGGGAAAGGAGATGACAAGAGGATGGAAACTGATGAAGGACATAGCTCAGCCTTTAACTGCCTAACTGCTAGGTGGCAGCAGACTGCAGAACATTCTGGAGCATCAGGCAGCATCGCCTGCTCTCCCAGGAGGCTATGCAAGGAACATTATTTTTAACGAAGTCCTCTCAGAAGCTGCACTCATCACCCTGCAGCAGAGGAACCTGGTTCTCTCACACACCCAAGAAACAGCTCTTGATGGTACAGGCAGAAATTTCCCTACCTCCAAGCTTCTCCTAAATGGAAAATCAGATCAGAGTAAAGCCAGAAGTGCAAACATACGTGCAACAGCTGAATTAAGTAAATTGTGATTGGTAGATATGATAGGAACGTTACACTGCTGCTGTGAGAAAACAAGAGAATATCCAACAGCTTTGGAAATATGCTGCTTCTAAGCAGAGGACAGTTATTGGGATCTTGGCCTTGCTTCCACATAGCAGCTCAACTTCTTCTCAACAAGCTAAAGCACCAGCAGCAGCACTCCAACTGAGCTGAACTTGGTGACATAACATACTGGTATCTCTGGCCAGAATCAGTCATGGACACTGAAAGAAATAAACAGATGGCCTGGTGTTCCCAACAAGAAAGCTGACATCATGGCTAACTTTCACACCAGACGTGGTAACAGCATTTCAAAAGTTTGAAGTAGTATGGGGAGCAGAAATGCTTCAATCTGCATACTCCCGAGCTGAGAAGTGGAGCAGAAATGTGGTTTTTCTCTTTTCTCTTGAAGAGAAGCTGCTTGCACTGCTTATTTGCTTTGGAATTGGAAGGTCTAACCAGGCTGAGACTAGAATTGTCACATCTGCAAGGGATCCAGGTGTACAGCTATCAGGACACAACAAATGCTTTCTTTAGGGGAATTTTCTGAAGCTGCAGCTCCTGGTCTCACAAACCCATGGCTCAAAAGCTCTGACAGAGCATCAGCTCCAAGCAACTGAGTAACAGCATGTGAGGGTTCTGGCACAGACCCACACAAGTGGCTTATAAAAGGAGGATATAACTTGCAGAGTAGCTTCTTGTAACAGGACTTGTAAATGGAATTACAGCGAAACCCACAAAATTGCAGGAAACCAGTAAATATGTATTCAGAGACTACCACAGTGCTCAAGGAGAAAAACATCAAATCAAAGGAGACTGATCCCAAGGTGGATTTTTTTATATCAGACTGTTGAAAGGAGCTCAAATGCCACAGTGAGCAGTGCAGGTGTTAAGAATGAGGGAGGCAGGTGACATACTAAAGATGCTGAGGAAGCAAAGCATTCTTTGATCTGGAGATGATGCACCATCTGGTCAACAAGCACTCAAGCTATTCCACAACAAAACACTGCCTCTTGGCCATATACCAGAAATTGAAGGTTACAGCACTAGTAATTAATTTCTTAATTTCTCAATGCTCAGAAGAGAGAAGCAGCCCAAACACATGACTGTTTGGAGAAGCACATTAATTGGAAATGTGCTGGCACAATACTGACAAGAACTGACATAAAAACAGCTTTAGAGAGATGCCAGAACTCGATGCCTCAGCACCTTAACGGGACAGAAGGAGGCAGAAGGGAAGCTCCATCTCACCATCACTAGCACTCTGACACAAAACCCTGACGAGAAAGCAGACACCCACCTACCTCCCAGCCTGGTGTTCATATGTGCCACTTTTAGGGAAACCAGAAAACTTTACACCAAGCCAGTCTCCTATAAAAGTTTAAAATAGCAATGCTATCACCTCTGGGTTTTTTTCTTGACACTGGAAATTCGCTGTCAGAGCAGGAGTGAGACTCAGCTTTCCCTCAGCACAGAGAAGCACCACTCTCCCTCAGACAGGCAGTCAGGTTCGCTTGTCCCCAGTGGCATGTTCAAAACCTCAGCACTGGGTAACTAATGAACACTTACACAACTACAGTGCAGACAAAGAACTTGAGCTTTAATGTGACTTGAAATTAATAAGGCCAGATCCACAGCTCATATGAATGTGGCCTGAGATTTTAGCACAAAGTAACTTCCAAATGCCTTCTCTTTACTGGCTGGGTTTGTTTCTTTAACTCTAAGCTGGCTTTCACAGGACAGCCAGACTGAAGTAAAGTATGCTTGTAATTCACTAGGAAAGCAATGTTATTTTTAGCAATGAGGAAAAAAATACAATCAAGAAATCTTCCAGATACTTCTGTAGTACAGATAAGCACATAAACCCTGGATGGAATTCTGACATAAAAGAATGAACTCTTATTTTCTTTTGTTTAAAGTTGTTTTCCTTTAGGAAAAAAGCCCATCAAACTTATTATTTTAGAAAAAAAGAATTGTGTAAAATATTTTTTCTGTAAAAAAAAATTCTGAAAATAATGTTTTCAAAAACTAATAAAATATGTGTAAATTTCTCAGCCATAATACAATTTGATTTCTTCATCAGTTGTAATACATTTATTTTCTTTATTTTCTAATCTTTATTACTTCTGCAACTCTGTATCATAATATGTACATTTGCCTTCCAAAGAAAAAAATTAAAGAAGCAAGAAATTCCAATAGCAACTTTCTCTAACAATATCCTAGCAAAACTACCATTCACAGTTTTCAAAGTATTCTAAACACTTGGATAGTCTGGTCTCCAGTCTCTTGCCTGCTCCGTTTTGTGACTTCACTGTGTAACTGTCACCATTTCAGTAAATTATATTAATTCCACCTGTTAGTGCCACTGATTAATTCAGTAATACTGGTCAGGAAAAAAAAATTAATGCACAAAATTAGACTGACATTAGACTGAAAGACACACTTCAAACACACAAAGATTTGTTGACAATAATACAAAACATCATTGGGAAGATGGTCTAAGTATGTATTATTTAAAGTAAAAGACTATCTAATCTCCTGTTTCAGCTCTCCACTAAGGCTTGACAGAAAACAGGATTATTTCTCTATCCAAAGTAGGAAATCTGCAACATTTTATCATGAGGAGTATTATTTCTTATAGCGAGAGGACCCAGTTCCTGTTCTTTGATGCATCTGATACGAGCTGTCAAAAATTATGAACTCAAATCCATATTTATGTACTTACAGTACTGGTGCTTTGCACCTAAGAAAACACAGAGCCTTTTATCTAGATATGCCAACACCTATTTCTTAATTAGTGACTTTGACAAGCTAAACAAAAGCAAATCAGAACAACCATACAGGCGCCTAAAATTCAGACTGAAGGTTACAGTTTAACAGTGAAGGCCATGGATAGCAACTGTAATTGTCAGTCAACAATATTTTATTAAATTTGATATTTAGCAACCATAACAAGAACATTTGTGTAATGATGTCAAATATAGGAATGGTTAATACAATTCAACATGAAGACATAGGATAAAATATCAGTATGCACATTACCTTAGCGTTCTCAAGCAGAACTTCATCTCTACCTAAGCCAGGTCCTATGACAACCGAGTGCAGTCGTGGTAACCACTTTTCCACCTCATGGATAGCATTGGGACTATCACTACAAGGAAGAGTGGGGGGGAAAAAAAAAAGTTTAAAAAGGCTTCATTTTAGTATTCTCAGAAACTGAGTTCAAGATGCAAGACAGAAAGAAGTATTTTCTATCTTGAGTGTCAGGCAATTTTATCCTACAAACTACCAAGAATCTGTGACCCAGAAATACAGAAAATACAGAATGGCCTTCCAAATAGCTAAAATGAAAAATTTCTCTCCATTCATTCTTTAGGGGATACCACATAAAAATGAGGAAGTAACTACAACTATCCACTACAGCTGTTACAAAATAAAAAAATAAAATCCAAGCAGGAAACCAACAATTTTTAGAGTCTGTCACAATTCCCCATTTAATGCTTCTTTGCAGAGGTTATACCTTGGAGAGAGATCCACTGTCTCGCAGGTATATATTGCAGCTTGCTGGAAATTATGCAATTGTTTATTACCCCACATGGCAGAATGATAAATCTACTCATATGCTTTTTTGTCAGTTGCTTCATAAGAATTTGTTCCAACTGAATTACAGCCAAATTGTCCCCTTCCCCCAAAAGGCAACAGAAGAAACAAGCTATTCAGTATGGGCATTATCTGCTTGTAATGCTTAAAATTTCTATGGCATTCTGGTTTTTGTCTACATTGGAAAAATGATGAGAAAATTCACTGCCAAATATAGCTGCCACAATATAGCATTCAGCCACTGACCAGAACTGTTTATTTTGTTCTGATCAGTTTTGTTGTGTAAATAGGTCAGAATGTTTTGAAAGCACTGCCCAGCATTTGCAGTTAATCCTTACTGACAGTATGGAGTGAAAATTTAGCCTCCCTCCCTCCCCCGCACCTCTGACATTAGTGACAACAATAAATGAACATCCTAACTGAAGCACGGGGGAATAAAGCTCCCTGTAGGCTGAGCAGGGGGGTACTGCCTCACAGTATTGCTCAGATTATTGTAAGCTTGCAATAGCCCAACGAAGCTGTATTATTACAGATGAAAGCCACTGCATGTTTTTCATAACCAACAGCTGTCCTGATGGGACGCAGCACTTGGGAACAAGTGTTTAGGTTGTGTCTGGCAGAATCAGCAAATTCCACAATGATTCCTGTAAGTGCCAGGCAGCAGCCCAAAGCTTTTGCAGCTGCAGGGAGAGAGGCATCCCGCTCAAGGGTGCAGGGATGCGGTGCCTGGCCGCAGCCCAGCGACCCCTCTGCTGACAAGAGCTGCCTCCCAAAGCCCCGAGGTGCCCTGTGCTGACACTGCAAAACAGCTCTGTCAAAACAAGGCTGCTGGGTGGGAGTGACGACCCTGCAAGGGCAAGGGAGGCAGTGAACACGCAGGACATCGCTGTCCCTGGAGCAATCCCTGTTTCAGCAAGCTGAACTTCTTCCATTTGAGCACTGCAGCTCTCCCCCTCCTCCTCTACCTCACATGGAAACCAGCTCGAGAACTGTTAAAACAGCTCACTTTTTATTTATCTCCGTACAATCACCTATCAGTTCATGACATAAATAGAGGCTGGAAATAAAAATTATTCAAGAAATAGCTAAAGCACTATAAAAAAAAAAAAAAAAAGAGAAGACAGGTCTTTAATATGGGTAGGTTGAACATGTGAAAAACTGCCTGCAAACCAAACTCTAATAAAACATCATCATTTCTGAATGCAGACCACTCTTCCTTGTTCACATACTGAACTTATTTTATCTTTGAAGAGCAATATATGTCTCAATATACATATATTTCTCAAATAAATATATCTATATACCACATAGTTGTAAGAACACTGCAACTTCTAGATATATAAGGATGTCCGGACTCATCATACCTTTGGATAGTAAAAGCCAAATACATTAAAAAAAAAAAGCTTAATTAAACATAAGCTAAGAATAGAGCCATAGGTAGTATCATAAATGCTCTGCTGGTCTACAAATATCTGATGCAAATAATGTAATCATAAAATTGTCAATTTATTTATATTCAGGATTGAAATAAGATAGTTTTGTCTAAAACTCAATTGATAATGTGCACTTTTCAAAACAAAGCCATCTCTTGGGAAATAAACAGTCCAATATTAAGCCACTCCTGCACACTTTGCCTCTGGTAATAATAAAAATCTACTGTGGAGCGTTTCATCTTCAAAGCATTTTACAAACATTATGTTCAACTACTTTCCAATGTCACATCAAGAAGCAACCCAAGATGTGAAGGGTCAAGAGATTAAAAATGGTGATAATGACTATTACGTTGCAAAATCAGCTATAAAACCATGCTGTAAATAATTGATGGATTTTAAATCTTCATCAAGAAAGCAGAAAAATACAGTCTCACAGCAGCATCTTGCCAGCTTCACTTCAGGACACTGGATGCTCACAACAGCTGTGCTACACAGCTACAAACATCGTACCAACATCCTGCTCCTACAGCTGCTCTGGAAGTGGAAGGGCCGTTGTGTTATCTACAGTTTATGTCCACACACACATATCAAACCAGTAGCATTTTAAAGCTAATAGGGTACAAATGATCAACAAGCAGCTTTCTTCAGGCAGGGCAAAACCTTGAATGCTCCTGACCGTGGGATTTAGCACAAAGGCAGAAATTCCTCTAGCTCTCACTAGCTACAGTCTACACACGATGTTTGAACACACCCAGAAAAGCTCCCTGACTTTGAGATTAGATGGCCTCTGCACTCTCAGGCTCCAAAACAGACAAAGCTCAACCTGCCTGTCGGGCACAGTTCCCGGACCATGGTAATTCCTCATCAGTGGAAAAAATGGTTGGGAGAAGCATGAGTCAAAATCCTTGCTAAAGATCATTTGGATAATTTGCCTGTACATATAATTGTGCTTGGGTACCGAGGAATAGATATTTCTTAGCAGTATTTAGTTTATCATTACAGAAAAAGTCGATGGATGTTCTTGTTTGCTTGTGGATCAAAACCACACAAAAACGTCTTTGGAAAAAACTCCTTTGGAGGCACCAGCACAGAATGCCACGTCAGGTTCTCAGCTGCTCACCGTGTACTACGCTCACACAGAGAACAGAGTTAACATCTTCTGTCGTGTCACGCCAATTTCTCTGCCTGGTTACTAACCTGATCTCAAACATCTCCTTTTACTTATCACCTCCACTGCCCAAGACATTGAAGCAATTGAAATTAGCACTGTATTTAAAAAAGCCCCAACATCTCTCTAGAAAGATACAAGGTATGAAGAAGACTCTCCCTTGATCAAAAGGGATGTGATCTTCAAGCCTTGACAGAAATGAATCAAGTGAGCAAGAATCACCATTGTCTTTAAAGGTGCAGAGCCGTATGATCTCCAACTTGATTATTTTCCAAAAGAGAAATCATTAATGCAATATCCCCAACTCTAAAGCACAAAGCTAGTAATAATATAAAAAAGGAGCAAGAAAATCTCTTAAGGCCAGGAGAAAACAGTATTTCAATTTCTGAGAAGAGGGTAAAAACCTTTAAGAGAGACTTTGATTAAATAAAAATCTGCGATTTTTCAAAATAAAGCAAGTTTTTTTGGAAGGTGATAGGGAAAGACTTTGGGAACTAGTCTGGCTTTCCCCTAATGTAAAAATACAAACTCGGCACCATGGACATACACAACAGGAATAACTGGGAAGCTCAATCCTAGCAGTTACACCTGTAAACATGGAGAGTGAACTACAGTACCATGGTGCAGATGTGTGCAAAAAAAGATTCTAGTGACAAAGCACATCAGGGAATAAATGGGGAATGAACAGATCTTCAACAGCTACTGCCAGCTGATCACCAGGTGTTATGTGACGTGTTATCAGATGCCGTTCTGATGAAAATCAGAACTATGACAACTCACTGCTGTTCAATCAAGCAACTAAGCAACACCCCTCCAAACTCCCAAACACTTCCTCAAAACCTTAGCTTGTCTGCAAAGCAACCAATAAACCTCTGACTGCACACATTAAAGAACTATCACAGGGTAAACACATAAATAACAACTGCAAGACAACAGAATAACTAATAAGAAAAACTGAAGGAGCTTTTGTAACTTGCGTCATATCTGTGAAGCTGTGTAGGTAAGAAAGAGTCTAAAGCGAATGTCAGCAATCCTGAAATGAACTGCACAAATTGTCCATTAGTCAGATCTAAAAAAACAAGCAAGCAGACAGAGGGGGTTACATGAAGGCACACGAGGGAAAAGGACACCAGAGATGGGGTCTGATCATCTTTCCTTGGCTGCTAATGAGAGGGAAGGAGAGGCTGAGAAGACTTATGATCTCTTGGGAAGGCAAACACAACACCTTTATAATTTGCTGTCCCTGAAGCTTCTGGGTAGACAGGACCAAGGTATGGTGTTCAGTATCTTGCATGTTTATCTTCTTCCTCTTTTCTCTGCTTACAGAATACATTGAGGAAAATACTTTCCCTGGCAAAACAGACAAGGATTCTTCAAATTAAACATCACTGAGTCTCTAAAATGATGAGGACAAATTTTCTCAGTAAATTATTAGTGGCTTTAGGTAACTTTTGCCACATTAACCTCATGAAGTTCAAGGAGTGCAAGGTGCTGCACTTGGATTGCACCAGTTCTAGATAGGAGTACAGACTGGGAGAAGCCATTGGGGACAGCCTTGAGGGGAAGAGCTAATAAAGAAAGAAGAACTAAGTTAAGCTTTTTGCTCTTCAGAACTCTTCTATATTTCACTATGGCACAATAAAAATTGTCCTAAAACTCAGTTCTGTAGATCTTCATCTTAGGGAAAGTTTGATGTTTTAATCTTTCCAAAAACAGACAAACAGAAAAAAACTCCTAACATTAAAAAAACAAACAAGAAATCCCCAACAAACACCAAAGATGGTGGCTATTGCCCTGTTATCACCCACGGTTCCTAAGCATCTTCTAGAGCTGTTTGTAACAGATATTTGACAGGTGCCATCTGCTTGAAAGTCTGCTCTAGGCTGGTCACTGCACAGAGTGGGGGGACACTTGACAGCTAGGACCTGAAACACCACTCCCATCCCTAAT